GAGTAGATTCCGAAAGTAAGTGTTTTCTGCTCATTTGCACTTGCTGGACTTCTGCAACACTTTCGTGTAATGTCTGATTCGGAATTGACAGATTCGGGAAATTTTGCTCTGTGAGAGCGGGTGGCTGTTGTGGCTGTGCACGAGTGTCCCAGACGGTGGTGTTGGTGGATGTACCGCTGGTCAGTGTGTTGACCCTGGCCTGAGCTGTCTGCACTTTTTGTTTCCGTGCAGAGCAGGTTGTGCTCCAGGCATGATGTTTGCCTCCACAATTTGGACATTTGGCTGTCGTGGTCTGGTTTGCCTTGTGCTTGGCAATACAGTCTTTGGTGGGATGTCTCAGGCTGCACACTCCGCACCTCTCCTGTCCTGTGCAGCGTGACTGATGGTGGCCGTATTTCTGACACCTGAAGCAGCGTAGGGGTTCCGGGACGTATGGCCTCTGTCGGTATGTCCCCCAATTTCCAAGACCGAAAGTTTCCGGCACATGTCCCATGACGGTCACCAGAACCTGACGCGTCGCTGCCTTGTCTACTTTTGTGTGGCAACGTTCCGCACTCAGGACTTGCTTGTGTTCTAGCACTGGATCCAGGGGAAAGTCGATTGGGTATCCCAAAAGCACGACTCGTGTGCGTCGTTCTGAAGGGTCCAGCTTTACCAAGCACACAGGTTTCCCCTGCAGGACTCTTACCTTCTCTAAGTAATGTGCAGTCTGTTGGTCTTGAGGTGTCAGTATTATTTCTCCCTTCAGGTTGACTGTAATGGAAAGTTTGAGCTCTGGTTGTTCTTTTTCCATCGCCGTTACTACTCCATATGCTGTAGGAAAGTGGTCGGTCTGCATGATCTTGAATTTCGGAAGAAGTGCAGAGGCTGGCGATGTCTGGTGTGAGACTGGTGGTGTCCTCCCCTGTCCCATACTGCTGTCCTGCGGCTGGGCTGTGGAGGGAGGAACAATGGCCGACATTGGCTGGCGTGAAACCGGTGGTGTCCTCTCCTGACTCATACTGCCGTCCCGCGGCAGCGTTGCGGACAGAGAAGCATTGACTGACACTGGCTGGTGTGTGACTGACGCTGTCCTCTCTAGGTCCATTACGTCCGCTGACTTGCTGGTAGAAGCAAGTGGTAAAGCCTCGATAGCAGTTTTCTTTGGGGCCTGCTGCACATCGGTCCCCCGGCCTTCCTCGTCCGAAAGCTGCTTCCATTCCCTCTTGCGCTGAGCCTTCCCCATGGCTCTCTACACGTAGTGAGAACCGACTCAAACCACCGGAGCAGCAGGCGACACGTCCTCACTGCACGGTAGCTCAGGAGCAACTCCCACTATCAACTCTTCTGGGAAGTGATGAGGTACCGGTGACTGGCGACAGGCGGGAGTGAAACAGAAAAAGTGAAGCAGTGCACAGGTCGACCTTGGGACGCCTCTACGGGAGTGTACTAGTAAGAGGGGTATTGGAGCGTAGAGGACTTCACTGCTGGAGTGAGCTAGACAGAAAGCTAGTGGAGAGCTGAGGACTTCACTGTTTGGGGTGTGCTGGCCAGAAGTTTAATAGTGCTGGATGACTTCGCTGTTTGAGCGTGCTAGCGGTTGAGCTAGTGGGGCACTTGAAGAAGTCACCATAATTGCAGCTAGCGTGAGGGCTAGTGTTGCGCTGAAGACGTTAGATGGTTGTTTATAGTCGTAGTTGTAGATAATAAGTGATATTATTAAGTGCAATTTCACTTCTTACCTTAAGCATTACACTAAATTTGCACCAAGGTTAGGGATCTATGACTTAAGAAGGATCGTAGAGTTTAAAAGAATCCGGTTACAGAGGAGTTTGTAGCACTTGGCTAATGGAATGGTGGGCTTCAATCCCTGAGCCCATTGTGTGCCCTTGTAACCATTTCTACTACTGCCCACAGGATAGTTATTGGATGCATAATAAATGAACTAAACTAACTGATAACATTTAAAAAGGAACACGAATCCACCACCTTCAAAATCAAAGGCTAATTAATCGTTTATGACAAGAGATTGCAATTTATTATTTTTTTTTTATTTTTACATGCAAAGCATGCAATTTAAATACAATAAAAACAATACAGAATACATAACAAAGGAAAACAATAGACCACCGGCCAGAAGGGCCGACAGCATAGCACAACAAAACACATACACGAGAAAAACATAGAAAAATACAGCATACATCAAAGCACAAAACATAATTCAATGGCAAACTAGCAATCACAGTAACATCACAAAACAAAACCTCCAGAAAAACAAAACATACATCAAGAGGCATAGCAGGAAACAGAACAGGACAAACACAATACATTCCAAACAAAACATAAAGAACACGTACAAGTAAAGCAATATAAAAACACCAGGTCAAACTCACAGCACAAACAATACAGGAATAAAAAAACACACACCAAGCCATCCGCCCCGTAAACAAAGGGTGAGGCCAAAATAAACAATAATAATAAACAAGCATAACACGCACACCTGAAAACAAAACAGGCACAAACACAACAACATACATGCACTTGCCTGAACCGAGAATAAAACAACAAAGTACAGCAAGAAACATAACAAGACACTTCAGCACAAAACAAAGCAATACAAATTGATACAAAGATACTAAACACCGGCCTGAAGGGCCGACAACAAAAACAGAAACATAATAAAACACAAGAAAACGAAACAATACCGGAAATATAAGAAATACAACAAAACAACGGTCATGAGAACAAACATAACACCGGCCTGAAGGGCGCACAATAGGTACAACACATTTCAAACAAATTAAGTTCCAAGCACACACCAAACACACAGCAAGCACACAGACTACTAAAATTTCTCATACTTATCCGACCACTCCGCCGCCGGGAATCGAATACAATACGCCTCCCAAAGTAACCTGACGTCCTCCGTAACAGGATCATTACAAACCGTATGAGGATCAGGCATTAACTCCGGCACACCCACAATAAAGCACCGAGCCCGTCGAACCCAGACGGAAGAAGGGCACCACGGAACAGGACACACGCGGTCAACAATGTCAAACCGCAAAGGATCCTCATCATCGTGCGCCACTCCGGAGGCCAAGAAGATAGGGAGAGGCTCCTTCCCACGAGGCCGGGCAATGGGCAGCGCACTGGGAGCCTCCTCGGCTGACTCACAGGGCCCCGCGTCAACCACCGAACGATGTACCTGCTGGGACCCCCAACGCTTGGCATCCTTCTTCAGCACCAGCTTGATGCCTCGGCTCGCACCAGAACCCACACCACCCACGTCTGTAGAAACAACCACCTCCCACTGCGAAGAACCTTCTGCAGGAGAATGAACAGGAGGTAAATCAGACGCACAACCATCGTCAACAGCAGACACATGGGCATCAGCCACCACCAGTGACGTAGAGCGCGAAGCACCCGGAATCGCCACATCATCTCCCGAAGCTCCACCTGCGTCGTAGTTCTCCACATCAGCCCAAGCAGTAGAAGAACGCCTGGAACGCTTGGGCACTGGCCGCACATCCTCACAGCCGGAGGCGGACCCAGTACCACGGGCCTCGCGAACCAACGCCCGTCGCAGTACGGCAGCAGCCTCAACCACATGGGGAACCGGGCCGCACACAACAGGACGCTCTGCAGCCCCCCCAACACCCAGCACAGCCGTAACACCTGGCGAGGGTGCAGGACCAGGCGCAGCAGCAAGAGTCGAGGAAGACGCAGACGACCCACAGAGACCATCCGGAAGACCCTCGGGAGCAACTGGCACAGCGAAGTGACCAGCGACAGGAGCCACTGGAACACAGGGGGGGGGGGGGCGCATCAGCAGCGAATTGGACCTGCCCCTCTTCATCTCCAGAATCCACGCCCTGAGGGAGCAGCAGGAAATCCTCTTCCCAAAACAAGTTAACAGATGCAGCAGGGGACTCAGAGCACCCGGCAGCCTGATGCCCTAACTGGCCACACTGGAAACAAGTACGGAGCTGCCGGGCAAAATACATCCGAACGTAGTAACCCAGCAGCCGGACAGAAGATGGGATATCCGACCGCAGGCTCATACCTAAGGTACGGACGTTCGTCTGCTTCCCAGCATACTTCCCCGAGGAAAGCGTGTTCACCCGCACACTGATGACAGCACCATACCTCCCGAAGAAGCGCCGGAGAAGGTCTTCAGGGAACTCCAGGGGCGCATCGTGCACACTGACATAAGTCAGGGCACCACTTCGGTCCGAGACTGTAACGGAGCCGGCGCCATCCGGCAACTGCAACGAACGCCCTTCGTACCGCCGGAGGAAGTCCCGATACTCCTCCTCCCGCACGAACTTGACAATCACCCGGTGGGCCGTAACAAGCTCAACTCCATATACAACCTCCACCGGGACACGAAGCATTTCGTACATCACCAACTCAATGGCCGGATAACCAGCCTTGCACGAGAACTCTAGTCCCACGGAATTTACCCGCAAAACAGGAGGAATTGCAAGGCCCCCCCCATGTCAAAACTGCCACGTCAGCACGCAGCCAGGCAGGCAACAACACTGGGAGGGCCAGTGACGCCCGACCATCTGGCGACCAAACGGCAAACAACTCCAACAGCCACGGAGGGTCGGTAAACGTCCTCACTCCACGGCCGCTAGCAGTCGACCACAAGAGATTGCAATTTGAACATTCTATGATCCAAGAGAATTGAACACTTCAGTAAAGTTTAAATGTCAGGATATATTGGATGAATTGTTCCAATAATAATGATTTTATGCATTAATTCCACAAGGAATTGTTTTATTATTTACCAGTCAGAATACTTCTATATAATATTTAAGTAAATACGCATTCTTAACTATTAACGGTCATCACTATAGGTACTTTATAAACAGGAGGATGGGTTGTAATCACTTCATTAATTTTTTAATGAAAGGGTTCATAGCATTTACTTTCCTATGCATAATGTACACAAACTTTTTTTTAAATTGCTTGCATATAATGATGGCAAGATGCACCAAAGATTGGACTGACAGGTGCAGGTTGTATGTGTACCTGCCCTACACCTCCAGGGAAGACCTGCCTGTCCTGCTGGCTACCTGGACGCCGCAGCGAGGCTTCGTGCTAGTTTCCAGCCTGCCATTCTTCCCAGACAAATACACCAAGTTAGTTATTATCCCTAACTTAGTTTAGGATTTGCCATTAAATATTTTGACAGGTGTATATTTAAAGTTTTCATTAAGGATTAAGAAAGATTATTAACTCTAATGAAGTTATTAAGTCTGGAAATCTATGACTCAACAGAACTGTGACGTTTAGAGATCGCACAGATGTAAAGCAAGAGAGGACAATTTTCTTCTAATATATAATAAGAATATTATAATATATTAGACTATCATATATTATTGGCTAAGAACATCATTACCTAGTAATATAAACGTGTATTATCAGTTTTATTTGCCTCGTAACTGCCAATGAACAGTTACGAGGCAGTTACGTAACTGCCAATGAACTAAATACTTCCTTTCCTTCAGATTTCTTCGGCGGCCACAGTTGTCGGTGACGACGGAGGCGCTAAACTCCCGCGAAGTGACCAAAGTCAAGAAGAACGAGGGAAGCAAAGATTATATGATGGATTATCTCTCACAAGGACTCAACTTTACGTAAGTCCAAAAGTCCTGAATATACTCACTATATTAACAAAATTTCGTATTTTTATAAACGCCTGCATTCCGACACTCATAAATACACATAAACGTGAACACAGATAAAGACACAAACTTTAGAGTTCAGTGTATATATATATATATATATATATATATATATATATATATATATATATATATATATATATATATATATATATATATATACATATACACTCGCGAGAACATCATAAGTAGCCTAGTGTAGACAAAACCACACACTAGAAGATGAAGAGACGACGACGTTTCGGTTCGATCTGGACCATTATCAAGTCGATTATCAGGTCAAGATCGATTATAAAGTCAAGAACATTATCAAGTCGATAATCGTTCAGAACAGATCGAAACGTCGTCGTCTCTTCATCTTCTAGTGGGTGGATTGGTCAACATTTCTTCTGCCAAGTTATTGTGACTCATCTGCATAAAGAAGCCTAATCATTGCCCAGCATAGAGAAAACCCCGATTTCTTTAAGCCCAAACCCCTAACACTATTGCACATCGCCCTGATGAGATTACAATATATTTCTGTAAGAATGATAGACAGTTGATGTGTTGCTGTACATGAAAATCCTCCCTGGCTAAAGCTTGTATCTCCTTCAGTGGTGGTCAGGCGTGTGGCACCAACAAACCAATAAGGAACCAGACATATCCAGCAGGTATAAGAAATTGGGAAAATAGTAAACATTTATGTACTTGCAACTGAGCACCATGTCGCCTCATTAATCGTTGGGTGGAGGTATTTGTATGAGATTTCGTGGGACGTATCTATTACCTTTGGTAAGACATTACGTTTGGTAGTTTGTAGGTCTCATTTGCCCGTTCCCATGCTACATTAATTTTTCTTTCCACTGTTTCACTTAAACCATTAATAGTTTTCTTGTGGAGGTCTGACCGACGTGGACCTATTACGAAATTTATATATTTTTTAGGGACACGTGCTTCGATCCTGGAGACGGATACCTTTGCCAAGGCTAGATAAGTTAAGGTTCTTAACCTTAAATTATATTTCTTCGGTACTTGTCTGCTCCATTTCTAGAGTCAGATCTGTCAACGAGGCTGTACTCGAATTTTCTCTTATTCCACTTCATTTTTGTAACGATTCTCCACCCGTCAGCGTCTTCTACACCTTCCCGAGGCCAGCTTTCCTCCCTTGACGATCGTACCATGGGGCGTTCTTGTCGTCGTCTTCGGTGTAATCTATCCACATACACATGTGGGTACCGACCTGTGAGATTTATATTTATTTAATTTATATGAATTTATATAGAATTTATATTTACGTTAATTTATATTTCGATAGAAATTTGTATGATGTTCAGTGGACTGTATTTCTGCAATAATCTCACAAATCGATCCTCTACACATTAAGGGGGGGGTTTATATTGGATTTATATAATATATATATGCAGCCAATCAAACTACAGTATTAAACTACATATATTAGTATACATTGAAGAGGTTCCTTATCTTATTATACAGCAGGCTTGGTTCACCAGATATAACTAGGATGTAGACACCAAATTTCCTCGTGTGAGGCAGCTTCCATCACCCAGTAACTGATTCACAAAGCTTGCTTCCTGTTCTTGACCTGTCAAAAGGGCGCTAGCTATGAAGCCAGAATCCTAATATATGACGGCTATATCAGAGAAAACACTGTATAATGAATTATAAAGACCAAGGCTTAATTACCTTTTATTAAGAGGCTGTTCGCATTCTAACCGGATTGCCCTATCTACTGACATTAATGGCCAAAAATGATTAGATAAACGGGTTTCGGCAGAACACTTTCCTTGTATTTGTTGACAGCGTGTTGATGATGGAAGATTTTTGGTTTCCATAACACTTCGTCCAAGGGAAATTAACAGGAGCCGTTTACTCCCGTGCGCCTCTGGTCTAAACAATAATGGCTGACCACTCCCTCACCACTGATGCCTCTGGCCTACATTGTGCAGATATCAGAAAGTGATAAAAGGGTCATATTTACTCTATTTTAATACTGATAATAAAGTTAATTTATATGAGATGTTTTTATGATGGTAAAGTCCAAAGACTAATGTATTTAGGAATAATTCCCAGCAGAATAGCTGGTGAATTTATAATAGTGTGTGGCACTGATATCCCGTTTTCTATAGATGGAAAGTTCCACTACAAGTTACATTTTCTATGGGTAACTTGTGTATACAACGCAGCAATATCTGCAATTGCATGTAATATTATTAAATGGTGTCGGATTTTCTGACAACACAAGCATACGTCCACATACACATACATACGTCTTCGGTGTAATCCATCCACATACCTATAGGTATGTGGATGGCCTCTCGTCATTCAAAGCGGTCACTAGTTCATCCTGTTCCTGGGTCTCCTTGAGCCTTCCCAGGGTCGTGCTTTATTGTAATCTTGGCGCTTGTCGAACCTCTAACTGTTTAATTGCTTGGAGGACCAGTTCCTGTTTTACGAATTTTCCCTGCTCCTTCATCCCTGGCTGGGTCTGTTCTTCTCCAGTTTCTGTTTTGTTGGGCCATGTCGTGTTTTGGGGGCCCTGTTTTGACCTGTCTCAGCACTCGCTCTTCTTTGTTGAGGGGGCGGTGCTGGTGCTGTCTCGTTTTCAAGCTCAGTCCTCTGTCCACATTTGCCGTAATATAAATTGCCAGAAGAAACCAGTTTAGGCTGTCACGTGCTGCATTTTCTTCTCCAGTCTTCTAGCTGTTGTTCAAAAGTTATCTTTAACAATTTCAGCATCATGACTCCTAATCACTGCTTCAGCATGAGAGGTGTAATGGTCTGAGAATGATATGAGCTGCCCTCCTGTCTTTACTTGTCTCCCCTGAAAATGGCGTGTTAAAATTACCTTTCCTCGGATTAGTCTTTCTTCGGTAGGCCTTCCAAATAATGCCTGATAATCTTACCTCATTTATTCCATTCCTGAATAAGGAATCCACAATGTTGTCCATTTTAAACGTTACATGCACATGTCCTACTTTTATGATTATCATATAGCCGAAATTCTGTGTAGCAAAACTTAATGAAGAGTTTTTAATTAATTTCTCCAAACTTTGCATCAGATGTATTTCCTATTTGAATCTGAAGAATCGAGCCATTAGCTCTTGGACACCGGCTTTCTAACCAATTTATTTTTCCTCTGTCTACTGCATGTATTTATAACACACACACACACGCATACGGATCTCCAGGAAGCAGCCCGTAGCAGCTGTCTAACTCTCAGGTACCTATTTACCGCTAGGTGAACAGGATCACCTGGATGAAAGAAACTCTGCCCATTTGTCTCTGCCTATGCTGGGAATCGAAACCAGGCACTTAGGATTATGACCCTAGAGGGCTGTCCACTTAGCCACGAGAAGACTGGAAAAAGAGATTTCGGGGCCAAGATATTTTGGGATTGTTCCCATATCAGCTGCTTGTAACATATCTCAGATTGTCTCATTAAATTATTCAATAGCTGAAAAAAAAATTGTAACGTTTATGAATCTAATTTTCCTTCCGTTAAAGGGCGTTTTAATCTTGAAATATTTAGTTTTGCTCAGAGCCTGTTTGCAGACTTCTGAGCTGATATCCTCAGACATTAGATCAACCTGTGGCGGGAGAAAAGACAGAGGGCCGGGTGTAATGTCGGTCTAAATTCTCTTATCTTTCCACACTCAAGGAATCTTACCTTGTCCTAGTTGGCTCTTTATTTGAAAGGGATGCCTCAGCTGCGTCTGGAGCATCGAACCATTTCCTGGGTACTCCATTCTGCTGTTGTCTCAGTACGACGTTGAAAACATCGTGTGTTGATGTCACAATGTTATAATGGTGTCCGCAGGGTGTGGCTGGCTTAATTCTTCCATAAATGTTTCCATTCCTTCAAACCTTCACTGACGCTTGAAGATGTTGGTGCTTGGTCAGCTTACATTTGTCTTTCGCTTTAGTTATATTTTATCACACAAGGACAACCATATTTGACAAACACTGGAAACCTGGGTGACTGGCAAGCTGACAGCAAGCTGGCTGATTGCATGCTGGCTGGCAGGGAGGCAGGCAAGAAGGGAGAGAGACAGGTAAGCAGGTAGTCAGGCAGGAAGGTAGTGAGGGTTGGCACACAGGCGGGAATGTACACAAGCAGGGAGAAAGCAATGTAAGAGGACAGGCAGGTAGTCGGGTACGAAGGCAGGGTGTCTTGAGGATAGGCAGGCTTAAGAACAGGCAGTCAGGTTTGAAGACACGCGTGAGGACAGGCAATCATGTACGAAGGTAGGGGTGTCTTGAGGACAGGTAGGCAGGTAAGAAGGCAGGCAGGTTTGCGGACTGGCAGTCAGCTAGAAAGGGAGGCAGACTTGAGGACAGGGAGTCAGGCAGGCTGAGCTGAGGACAGGCAGGAAGGCAGGCTGGCTTGAGAGCAGGCAGAAAAACTGAATGGATACTTGTCATCTTGGTCACTTTAATCAAATATTTTAATCTAAAATTAACAAATACAAATACAAATAATACAAATAAAAATATTTATTCAAGTAAAGTACATACATACAAGGTGAAATACAAAAGTTGATGGATTTATAGATAGAGCTAGTACATACCTAAAGCCACTATTACGCAAAGCGTTTCGGGCAGGGAAAACACCAAGACTACAACTTAATACTAATTGAGACTAAAGTATAAATTGTGTTGAGAAAAATAAGAAAAAAATGATAAGGACGGGGGAACATGGCAGAAAAAGAGCAAAAATACAATTTGGTCAACAAACAGCATTGTTTAAAATCGTAGACATGGGTTGACATTTAGGGGTGAGGTAGGTTACATTGAGTTAATTAGGTGGTACTTAGTTTTTATCTTAAACTGGTTGGGAGAGGTACAGTCTTTACCATAATTGGGAAGGTCATTCCACATTCGAGGTCCCTTGATTTGTAAAGCATTTCTAGTTTGACTAAGTCGTACTCTTGGAATATCAAATAGGTATTTGT